TCTTGAGCTGCGAGCATAGCTGCATATGGGGAAGATTCATCCCGGTCAGCTTTGACCTTCATGCCACCTGCAGTACATTCAACAGTGAGAAACTGAGAAAAATAGTTCTGCATTTTAAAATTTATAAAACCCAACAGCGAGTATCATAAATATAAAGAACTCTATTCAAGATTGTCTTCGACAGCCACCACGATAGATGCATCTTTTCAGTTAGCAGGGTTTTTTGTGATTTTATTGACATTGCAAGGAAAAACAACTAAAGAAGAACAATAATTACAACATTTGTACGAAACAAGTCATGTTCCCCAAGTGTAAAGCTTTTTAAATACTCCGTATTAATAAGGCACAATTTTATGTTTAGCTAAACTCAACATACCTAACTTGTTTGGTCACTTCCAAAATGAACCATTAAATTAGACTTTAATTTGCTACAAAATGAGTATTTGAAGCCTTTGGAAAGCAAAAATGACAAGCGCATGAAGGCTAGAGCATGAACCAGAATGATAACCATATCAAAGATGAGAAGAGAAGAAGTGCTGAACATACCAGTGGTGCGGACCAGTGTTTCACGGCCAGACAAATCGGTAACATGCTGGATAAGAAATTAAGAAAAAGTACATATATGAGTGACAGTAGTAAACTCACAGTTAGGTAATAATTGGTAAACAGATAAGAGGAATTAGAGGAACATAAAAAAAAGCACTTACGATGAATGTGTCATTGAATGATGCAAAAATGTGAGCAACCCCAAATACCAATTCACCATCCCTAACTGCTGGCCCAAGGTTCACATTATCCTCCTTGGGCTCCCGGGTCTTTCTCCTAGACTTTAACACGAAAAGCATCCATTTGTTGCACATTTAGTAAATCAAATCATGTCTTGAGCAAAAATCATGCATCAAATTTACTTGATACTTTCTACACCATGAATAAGAATCAGACTGCATTATTCATAGACATTACTCATAGTCTCATACTATATTCATAATTAAACTTGCAGCAAAAAAAAAAAAGCAAAACACAAAATTTTTGGTAAAATACTACGGAGTAAGTTATATTAGTCCCTCCACAGAACCAAACAAATTAGTTGTTTTGCAACTACCATTTTAATGATCTTCCCTAATTTCTTTTGATAAATACTTGGTCCACAAATGAAACGGTCACAAATGTCGGGAGACTTACTATTTGTGAGCTTCAATAAAAAATAAAGTGGTCTAAAATAATTTTAAAGTGAGAATCTAAACTGTAAATAGTAAGTTTGTGAACAAGGAAACAAATTAGCCTATAAATCCTCAATTATCCCTTTCAGGCTATTGTTTATCCATTAAATTCAGCAACAAACAAAATCGAAAAAGGGGACGCATAATAGCATTGGCATTTTCTGTTTAAGCTGAAATCCTTCCCATGAAATTGCTTGAGGTAACATTGAACATGTATAGCTATAGCAGAACACAAAATTGCAAAGAGTGGAAGATCGATCTTTGTATTAGACACAGGAATTGCAAAGATGACGACCTTACCATGATTTAGGATGGCAGAAGGAGAATGGTTGGAGCTGCGGCGCGCTACTACTGACGTTTGAAAACCCTAGTTCAATGAATAGCGAAGGTTCGAATTTTATATAGATCAGGACATAACAGAACGGGTTTGAGTTGTCTCATTTTGTCATTATCTAAAAGTAGATATAAAAATATAAAATACATAAGGAAGAGACATCCTACTTTAACTTGAAAAGTAATGAAAAAAAATGATCTATTTATTTAGAATCTTTAAAAAAACCAAAAGAATAAAGAAATATGAAAAAGTGTTACAACATACGTCAAAAGTCAAGACTATAAACTTCATAAAAATTATGAGCCACAAATTAAGTGGGTCGAGTTAGAATGGTCGGAATTTTAGATGTTCCGGTCCTATTCCATTTTTTAATATTCAAATATGGATATTTTTTATATCTACCTTTGGGAAAAAAATTATGATACTTTTTGTTATATCATTATATAAATAAATAAATAAATAAATAAAACGGTTCGGAACGGGTCTGGGATAATAATATTTATCTGTCTCGGTCCTATCCCATTTTAAAACGATTCGGAACGGATTTGGGATAAAAGTTTGTCATCCCTTACATAACGGAATACTATAGGGACATGACCAATATATTTTGGGTCGAGAAAACTATTTTGGAATTCTTACTCACCTTAGGTTCGAGATATGTAGTATCCCAAAAATACCATGGACTAGTGTTAATCCCGTGCTTCGCACGGGCTCGTGTATATTCTACATTTTTTACATTCTATAATTATAATTTTATTTATTTTAGTTTTCTAATAGTGATATAATATGTGTTAGATGAATATTTTATTTAACTCTAAGATATATATTTTTTCAAATAATATAATTTAAATATAAATGTAAATGCACTAAAGAATCTATAAATATTTTCTTTAAAAGTAGTAAAAGAGAAATGATTTATTATTTTTAAAATTAATATAAATTAAAACTTTATTTTTCAAAACATTCATAAAGTTAAATTTTTTTATAGATATAATTTAATTATGTAAACAAAGTATGTTTTAAACTGGTGGAATATATATTGATATGTTTATTTAAAAACAAAAATTATATGCAAAACTAATGGTCATTATTCAATGAAGTACTAATGAAAATACTTTTCATTAATAAAACATTATAATAAAAAAAATATAATATATAATACGGAGTACGAAATATATTTTACAATGATGATATATGTTTGTAAAATTGTAAAAAATGACATTTTTTATACAAAGTATAATTATAGTAATATTTTTAATACTAAAATATAATATTTATTGAATGTAATACAATAAAATGCGTTAGAAGATTTTTTTAAATAATTAAATGGACTAATGAAATTATCCATCTCATTAGTGAATGCACATGTGGATGCACATGTGGCATGCCACATGTCAACACTCCAAGAAATAAACCTTGCTTTACATATATATATAGGATTTGTTGTAGGAAACTAAGCAAACGGTTGAACACAAGGTTCGTTTTCACATATTTCTTATCTATATATTTCGTCCGTTGCCTAAATTTTTTCAAAATTGAAAAGTGACGAGTTTTTAAAATGTGAAATTTTGAGAATTATTTTCAATTTTGTAATTAGTTTATAATAGAGCAGGATATAATGGTAGAATAGAGAAGTCATAATTAGAAAACTCTACCAAAGTTATACATTTTTAAGGCACACCATTTTTCAACTTTGAAAAAAGTTTATGGATGGAGAAAGTAAAAAAATTATGTGGTGGAAATTAGCGAAAAGTATGGAGTATAATTTAGTTTATTTACTCCAAACATTTTTATCTCAAAAGCCCCCAAATCCGACAGCAAGACAGAGAAAGCAAATCAAGAATTCAATGGCTCGCTAAGGAAGAAGTATCCTACACAAGCCAACTAGGAGCTCCCTCTTAAAGCCCACGATAGACCGGTTTTTGGTGGATCCATGAAGACATGAGCCTTTGTGACACCAATATGAGCCTTATGTACTTTAGCTTTTTGCTTTTGAGACCCTTTGTGTAGATTTTTATATCCGCACCCGCATGGAAAGCTTAATTTTGTCTCAAAGATGAAATAAAATTTATAATCTAACGATCAAGTTCTGACAGCGATTGTGTGGAAAAATAGACTAAGCTTAAAAGGTAATTTATGTTCTCACTACTCTCAGATTTAGCACACTCCTTTGTCAACTTGAGTAACATAAATTTGTAATAGATCATCGTGATGCATTTGGTCACGTTCTTGGCAAAGTCACTAGCTTAACACAAAGTCATCTAATGACCGGGGTGTCCAGCTTCAATGATACAATAACGAAATCATCTCATGACAATATTTTTTCTTGAAAAAGTTTATCAAATAAGACACAAAGAGTTCATATTGTTTGTTATTTCCATCTATTCATTATTATTTACTATGAAGTATCCACTATTGGTACTTCTTATATAGTATGGTCGATTAAAGTATATCAACTTCAATTTGTCACTTACAATTTTTCAATTATTTTTTCTTAAATCTCAAATCAAATTGAGACTTTTGATTCGATACGAAAGGAATATACAAAATACTTTTAATTTGAATTTTTGCATCATTAACTATCGAATTCCTCAAAAATTGCATGAATTCTTCTAAACTTTAAAAGTTATACCAATGATCTCGAACTTTTAAAAACAGTGCATAAAAGATCATTTTACACGCATTTGGTAGTACATTAATCACTTTATCTGTTGAAGACTTAAAAATTGACGAAGAAGTTGATGGATCTTGATGAGCTTGGTCGGCTGATGCCCGACCTTTAATTTTGGTTATTGACGATTAAGGTGAGATATTTAGAGTTTTGGGAGGTTAAAAATTTATTTCATTCGTCCAAAAAAGCCTCCCAATTAAATTTGAAATAAAGTTTTAAAAATAAAAAAATAAAATGATTGAAAGTGATTCAGAAAAGAAAGAAAAATGTTGAAGCATACAAATTTTGCCAAAATTGGAAAGAAGGGTCTTACTCTCGGACAAATGCAATGTTTGAAAAAACATATAGCAGAACTCGCGTGTGATATAAAAAATTTGATGCAATGTATTTTAAAATTTAGAGACCACTAGCACAATTTAGTTTTTTTTTAAATTTTATGAAGGGGATTGAGTAATTGAAATTGTGGTGTCAATGGTGGAACTAGATAAGCTTTTGTGGTAATTTTTGTTGAGCAATAAATTCTTTTTAAAATTTAATAGACTCCTCCCTAAATATTTTAGAATAGAATTAAATGCACCTTCGGATAAGGACGCCCCTAATTCCGCCCGCATTCCTATGGGTCCCGCTACTCGTATGTTTAAGCATCCGTCCCAGTGAAAACAACACACGCGTCAGAATCTCCACCGTCGATCATCCCCGGGTCCCACACTTCCGCGCGATCCTCGCCGTCCATACTCGGAAACCGTGGGCTCTATCGCTTTAATAAGAAGAGATAATGGCGATGCACGATTACGTGTTCCCTCACCGCACGCGATTAGTTCCTCTTCTGCGGTGGAGATATGCCGTCATCCCTGTATCGCACTATGGACCAAAGCGGCTTCGGCGGCGGCCACCGGCCGGGCCGATCCCCGTCGACGGATCGATTCCTCGGCGTTTTCTCGCCGCCGAAGGCCGATTCCGCGATTGGCGGCGGCTGTGAAGCGGAGGCCTCGTCGGGCGGAGGTGAGCTCAATGAAGACGACGTCCTCTGGACTGGACCGGACTTTACGGAACCTCTGCGGCGTTCCAATTCCTCCAACCTGAACAGTCCGCGGCAAGGTTTTGAGAAACCTGAGAAATTCGGCATCCTCGCCGCGTTGCCGGAGGATCTACGGAAAGCCGGCCGCTCTCTGATCTATCAGAAGCACGCCACGGCGTCGTTTGCTCGGGATTTGCCTTCGATTCCGAAGCCTACGGCGGATAGGGAGCAAAGCCACGGATATAACCGCAACTATTCCCAGTCAATGCCGGCTGCGAAGTTCCAGCACTCGGCCCCGATGAAAGTGCCGATGATGCCGAAGAAGGCGACGAGGAACGGCGGACTTTGCGATGTGGAGGTTGATGATGAAGACGCCGATGATGAAATGCTGCCGCCTCACGAGATCGTCGCTCGAGGATCGGCTATGTCTCCCAAAACCACTTTCTCCGTCCTGGAAGGAGCCGGCAGAACGCTCAAGGGGAGGGATCTTCGTCAGGTTCGCAATGCCGTGTTTCGTCAAACAGGTTTCATCGACTGAGAACAATAGATAAAAACCAGTGATCTTTGCTCTGCCAATTCGACTGAGAAGTTCAAAGTTTTCCAGATACATTTCAGTCATCAAGTTGATTGCTTCATTAGATTTCTGGAGATACAGTGTAAGAAAGTTTTATTCATACCTCCTCCTTTTAGTTTGTAATTGTTTCCATTAGTTTGTCTATGTGTATCTGTGAAAATTTACAGTGTTCATTCAATTCCTTGAAGAAATACAGAAAACTTTGATCACTAACCTGAGAATCTTATATATATTAATTTGTTTTGAAAAATTGCAATATTTCTGTAAAATATGCAATTGAATATTGATGTAACTCTAGCCTTAGGTCCTTACTTGCAAAGGATTTGAATTGAGAATTGATGCTTGATTATCTGCAATCATTTTTGGCATTATGATGCTATTATGATGCTAATGCATTTAAAGAACCCAACTTTAACTTGGGTTGGTTATGAATGAATGCCATTTTATGACACAAGTCTTCAACTTGGATTGTTGAATTGTAGTATTATTTGGTCTCTTGCATAGGACACTCAAATCTTTAAGGGTCTCATATCTTGTTTCTTTATATAACCTGAATTTGACATCGACAACGGTATGTGAATTTTTCGTTAACAAATTCAACGCGATTGTCATCTGTGATGTCATTCTTAAGGTCATTGCAGCATGACCTCAAACAGTCCAAGTGTGGGCACATAGGTTGCATTGTCTATGGGAACAAATTTTTCAAATTATACCCGATTGTCATTTGTGGCGTCAAACTTGGGGTAATTGTGGCATGACTAGGGGAAAAAGGGTTTACATTAGTAACTTCTCCTATTCATAAGTCTTGATGTGTGGTTCCGAAACAATCTGGAAATGTGTGTATCAATGTTACTCCCTCCCTCCCTAAATATTTGCCACATTTGTATTCCCGAGGCAAAATATCAAGTTTTTTCAATTCATTTTATTTACATATCGGTTTAGAAATAAAAAATAAAATTTACATATCAAATAATTACATGAAAAGTTCTTCAAAATAAGAGGTGTCAAGAATATTTTATTTTATCAAATAACCAATGAAAACATAGAAATAAACAAAAGTTCTCGCGACTGTTGAAAAAGCTAATGTTGCAAATATTTTGGGACGAAGGGAATATATGGTAATCCATTTGTTTTTCTTATGGAGGTTTAAAAGTTTGACAAGGTTATCTCCCACTGTGTAAAACTAAGTTCTGTTTTGAAATACTAAAGCACTGTATATGGTAATTATATTGTCCTCAAACATGGAAGTAATTAATCTGGAGGTCATCATTTCAAGTTTTTCTATTCTACCGTTGTCATAGCACAAAAATGTTAAAAATCTACACCAAGATTTGACTTTTAGTGTCAAAAGTTTGTGTGACACTAGTTGGGTGCACGGTTCCCACTCTATAGACTCTATTTGTTTTTCTTCCTTTCTGTTGATGGAATATTTGCTTTTCTTCCTGATTTGACTATAGACCTTCCTAACATACCGCTGCAACCTTCCTTCAACCATATCTATGGCATAGATATGTGCAAACAAGGATCTACTTTTCCGACCCACCTAGCCCATCTTTTAAAAAGGACGAAATCTTTAATGCCACATGGGCAAGCCAGCCCCTAAATTGTACTCCGCATTTGAACAAATCTAAAAGTCACTTTTAACCCATTCAGGCCAACTGGCCCGCTCATCTTCATTATATACATTTACTTAATTATTAATTACCTAACGAATATAAATTTTAAAGTTTTCTATAATTTGTATTCTTCTATCCACAAATAAATTTTTCGTTCACTATTTCAAGAGTCAAACTTTATTTATTTTGTTAGTTTATTTTCCCCACCCATTTGACAAAATAATTTAATCATGTCATCTCTAATTTTGTAGATCTTTTGACATAATTTATTAATATGTAATTTTTATTTTTAAATTTAACAATATTTTTCATATAAATAATTTAAAAATAACTTTAATCTATTTGTAGACGGAGAGAGAATATCATTACATAATTCACTCATCTACAAAAATTAAAACATGTTTTTTAAGGCTTGAATTCTTAACTTCCAATTTCTTCCAATTTATTACAATTCTTCATTTTCTTCAAATTTTTTTTACTCTCCAACCAATTACTCTAAAAACAATATATTTTTAATGTAAATATTTTAATTACTACCTCGGTCATGCTATATTTGTCCACTTTTGACTTTTGGAACGGTTTATCGAAGCACTTTGACTTATCAAATTCTCTCAATGTGTAAGCCTAAATATAGTCATGTATGATCTTATTTAATTTTTCTTAACATATAGATTATTAATATATAATTTCTATAATTTTTTAATTTACAAATTACAAGATAAAATATATTAAAAAAATATATTAGATGATGTGTAAAAATAAAAATGAACAAATACTCTAGAACGGATAAAGTATTATTATTATTACAACTGATATGTTCATAATTATAATTTATAAATTATGTTTCTTATCTCACAATTTTTATAATTCACACTGATTATTTTTCTCTTCAATTTTATAATATGAATAAAATTTTGTATATTAATCTACATGAATAAATCAAAAGACATTAATATGTTACACTATATTTAACAATTATGGATAAAATAGTGACATACAATATTTTATTAATTTAATTTTGTATAAAACCTCTCACTTTTCCCTTTATTATTTCAAATTTTCTCATTTTTTTTAAATTTTATAAAAAAATGTTATAAATGAAAATAATTTAGAAAAAGGAATAAAACATAAAAAATGTAACAAAAAAACATTGCATGTCTTTATTCTAAAAACAAGACTTCATGATTAAGTATAATAAATTTATTAATTATGCAACCATACCTCTATTATGTATTCTATATAACTATAGTAATTTTATTTTTACACATTGAAAAAAGAGAAAGGTTACCGTGACAATTATGGGAGGATTTACCAGGAGATAAGAGGTAGGAACCATCAATTTTACAAATAAAACACTAGAGCACCCTCAAGTCATCCCTTGGCATTAGTTCCCAATGTCATGAGAACTAAGGAGGTTGAAAAAGAGTTCAATGTTTTATTTTTGAATTTTTCGTACAAAATTGATTTTTTTGATATTTTATCCAAAACAGGCAGCCCTAGTAGATACTTCGGCCCGCTAAGAGAGGCAAGCACGAGGAAAGAGATTAGCCCTTATTGGGGCCTAGTCAGGTCCGCCCATAAGCTTATAAAACGAATCTGTCAGGATTTGAGACGGATGATTTCAATCCACAGATATTCCCAATAGCCCTTTTTCTTAGTCCACAATAGATCTTCTCATTTCATTTTTTAACAATCAAAATACCACAACTACTCTCACTTACTTTATTTATTACACCTCACCCACCTCATTTACTACACTCCACCCATTTTCATTAAGAGTATTATGGTAATCTTTCACCTTCTTTCAACTCTCCTTAAAAACCACCAAAAGTCAAAATGAAAACATCTTAGGGAAACAGAGGGAATACTTCTGTTTGGATTAATTTAGAGTAGACATAAGGGGTTATGACTTATTTTTAAATTTTTTATAATTTTTTAAAACTATGATTATGGATTAGGATTCAGACGAGAGATCAAAATAAAAATTTGCAGACTATCGTTGTCGTAAAAAGCGACTATAATTCACAAACGACACAAACAGAACAACCTTTAGAATTGTGTATGACAAAAAGATATATTATTATTATGAATTTACACTTTTAACTCTCAAATTAACACCAACATGATAAAATATTAAAAAAAGACTATTTGTAGAAAAGTACCCATAAAACAAGGACCACTTAAATAATATTTGATAATAGAGGACTAAATAAGAAAACCCCCATGTTATAAAAGACTAATTATAAAATTTACTCATCAAAAAAATGTCTTTTGAAAATAACTGCTTGAAAAATCAAACTCGCATCTTGAAATATAGTTTTTAGATAAAAAATAAGCATTATTCCATTGTTCGAAATGGCTTGAAAAAGGGCAAGTCAGAATATCATTAAGCCTCGAAAAATTATGCTCATAGAGGAATGAATCCCCTCACGCATCTAATCGACTCATCATTCTTGCCCATAGATTTGTACACAATTAACTGCCAAATCCATGAAATTAACAAAAATTTAAAATTGAACAGTCGCTAACATGTTCATAAATAGAATTAAATATAGGAAAGAAACTGGACAAAAAACTCAAAACGAAAACACCGAAAAAATGGTAATGAGAAGTGAAGAAAAGAGAATACCCTAGCGAATGAGATCTATCTGTAAGGTTTGTGTGTATATATACACGGCATGAAGGGCATAAGGGTCATTTAATCAGGGTCCATATTCTTGACCTAAGTCCTAACCGTTTAGTCCTAGCCCAGGGCACACTCCAAGGCCCATTCGAGTTAAATTTTTTTACTCTCTATTTTGAATCATTAAGGGTCCATTTGTTATACGGAATTACTGGAATTGGAATTGAACTGTAATTAGAAATCCATAAAATTTAATTTCATAGAATTGAACTCACCAATTCTAATTTATTTTTTTCACTATATATTCTAAATTCACATAATTTTTGTGCTACCAAATACCATAATTTGAATTGAAACCTTCACTTCCAATTCTATAGTTTGAATTCCGTGTACCAAACGGGACCTAATTAAATGGAGTAAAAATTACAAACTACTACCCCGTCCCTAAAAGAATGTCATATTTGTTTTTTCAATTGTCGCAGAAATTTTGTTTATTTGTACATTTTTGTTGGTTATTTGATAAAATAAAATATTTTTGACACATTTTATTCTGAAAAACTTTTCATAATGTTTTTAAATATGTAAATTTTATTTTTTTATTTCTATACCAATATTTAGATAAAATAAATTGAAAAACTTAAAATTTTGCCTCGTAAATCGAAATGTGTCAAACAAATAGGGACGGGGGAGTATATTTTATCAATACTTTATTTAAAAATATGGGAAATGTTGACTTCAATTGCTCAACTTTGACTTTTATGATAAGTGTGTATTTTATAGTAATGTATAAATGCATTTTATTATTATACATATAATAAAAAAGATGGAATAAATTCAAAATAATATCTGTATACCATAATGGTAATATATAAATGATAACTTATACGGAGTATTATAATACTCACTCTATCTTAAAATGATTTTTCATTTCAGTTCACAAAGATTAATTAAAATTATTTTCAATTCAATTAATTTGATTATAGGTGTAAAACTAAAAATAGAAGTTATATACTTCCTCCGTCCTGAAACTTTCTTCCCATAGCATTATTCCAACTTCACGGGAATTTATATTTATTTGTGTTTTTTCATGGCTTATATGATAAAATAAAATATTCTTGTCACCACTTGTTTTGTTGAACATTTGATGTAGTTTTTAAATATGTATATTTTATTTTTTATTTCTATACCAATATTTAAATAAAATAGATTGAAAGAACTTGAGATTTTTCTTCGTTTTGCACAACGGGAAGAAAGATATAGGACGGAGGGAGTATTACATCAAAAGTTTTATAAAATATGAGGTGACATGACTATATTATTTTATCAAATAACTAACAAAAATACATACACAAAGTGGTTAAAATTTGACAATGTAAATAATGATTGGAAAGATCATTTTAGGACGGAGGGAGTATTTCTTTTAATGCGTATAACGAAAAGGAGGAAATCTAATTTTAAGATTATAAAATAAAAGTTGTCAGGTAGAAATAGCATCCTTACTTTTGTTAGGTAGAAAAACAACTCATTCACATTTTTAAAAAGTGAAATTTGCATCAAATAGGACTAAAACATAATAACTTTCCTAATGTAGGACTTAAACTTTTTTATTCCCTAAATAGGACTTATTAATAACCTAGTGGGAGGAATAATGTGCAGTAATGATGAACATTTACTTGAATAATGACTACTTCATAATGACCAAATTTCTTACATTGGGAAATAAAAATATATGATTTTATATTGGGAAAGTCATTATGTTTTAGTCCTATTTAAGTAAATTTCTCTTTTAAAAAACAATAATGACATATACATATTGCTTTGAAATTTACATAAATGTGTGCGCGATATTCTACGATTTTCCAATTCAATGAGTGAAAATCAAACGTTCAGAGGAAAAACAATAATCTTTGATGGAAGTTTTTGTCAAATATTACTAGTAATTCCAAAATGAACCAAGAAAGATATAGTTAATTCCAAAATCAAATGTGACTCACTACATTTTTTTTAAATTCTAAACAAAATACAAGTGCACACTTCATATTATTTATTCTACTCCCATTTTTCAAAAATTTGAGAATACACAGTTTTTGGAGTAATGAAAAAAGTCCTCCAAAATCTTTCTATATTACAGAGTATATCACACCACTCATATTCTAACATATTTATGTTGCAATAGTTAAACTCTATCTATCAAATGTAACACGAAACACATTGGGATTAATGTAAAATTTAAAAAGATACTCCGTATATATTAGTTAGTACTCGTAGCTTTCAAGCATGGTGTGTGTGTATGTGTGTGTGTGGGTGGACATGTGTCTGTACACACACACACACAATTAAAAACGCAAGTTAAATCACAACGGTTCTGTAGCCATGGCTTACGGAGCCACTGTTGCCATTTTGGAGCACCTATGGTGCTTCATTCGCAAAATTGATGATTATTATTCCCTTCCAATTGCATAATAGCCACACATTTGGAGGGAGGAAACATCTATTTTGCGAACGGTCTAGTGCTCCACTATGGCAGTGGCAGCGGCAGCGGCTCCATAAGCAAGCGGCTACAGAACCGCATCCAAGTTAAATTGCGTAACGCACGGGTGCTATACTAGCAGAAGAAGGAGAATACAAGGTCAATAAGATTTCTATACACATCAAGGAAGATTATCCATTTGGCATCTCCATGGATCCATTAGTTGGTGAATGTTACAGAGCAGATGCAGAATCAATTGGAAGATGGAGAGTTTGGAGACAGACTAGAAATGGGCATCTTCTTCTTCACCATCCATCGTCAAGACTGGCGTGATGGAAACACAAGACAGTGCAGACGAATATGAAAAACGAGGTGAACTCGATAAACATCGCCCCTGTCCCTATCAAATCTGCATGTTTCAGTATGATAGGGATGGCAATGCTTCCCACCGCAGAAGCCCCTGTTAGAAACTTTGCTGCTTTAATCCATCTGTGTGAGTCAATGGACTGAGCGGTTAGTCAGATAACAATGCCAACAATGCGAAAAAAAACAATTTTTTTTATCCAAATACTAAAAACAATGTGAGAAAACCGATCTTATATATAAAGATTATTTAGCTATTATTTTTCAAACATAATTTTCCAAGACTTTTGGAACATCATTAACCAAGATCCAGTGGTAACATGAAGGAATCTAAAAAAAAAACGTACCCATCACCATCTCTACTCATTAAGATTTGGGTGGATCCACCACCAAAGAACATACAAGGCATAGGCACCATGACATACATAAGAGCTGGAAAAATAATTACAACTCTGGTTAGAGAAAATGTCATTTTGACATCCAATTCACCCTACATAACTCCTTCTCAAGTACAAGATTTTGCACAAACCTGACAACATCGGCCACCAATTGTTGTATAATACACAAGCCTGACATTTCCAAAATCAAATAATCAATTGTTGACTTGTTACAAACAGAAAATCTACACACAGAAGCCTGAACAAGGTTTACATATTCAATATCAACCGCATGATTCCACTTTTCGTCAATATGTGTGCAACTTTCTCATGTCCCAAAGACAGTGGGACAGAGAGAGTATAGTTGTTTTTAAGCTTTACTATTGTACTAATTAAATACTGAAGAAATATTCATTTAGCTTACTCCTAAAAGGTATTCTGCACCCCATTAAGGATTAAATTATTTTCCCATTCACGTTTCGAATCCCATTGAGTTTTTTAAAAAATGGTTCCCTTAAGATTTACATGATCTTGAGTATACTATTACACACAACCTGTTGTCATCCCTAGTATTGCATCAAGTTGTGCCATGTGTATAAGGGGCAAATTAGTTGAACTTGAACCTACCAGGATTTGTAGCAGAATGCTCGTCGAAAACATGAAAGCAAGCCCCGCAAGCCTGTTAGTAAGGAACCACTTTTGAATGTATTCATCTCAACATTTTAAAATCACAAAAAAAGGAGTAAATATTCCAACTCACACTTCAATCAGCAATCAAAGTCCATATAGTCCCACAGTGGATCCACAAGAAGCCAACACCAAGAGAAAGAAAGTTAGTTAGTATAGTACACTTAGTCACATAAAATAAAATAAGATGAAAAAAGCACAAAATTATCTACTTACTCAATGATCCTATAATCTTCTGCAACATTTGGTGTTATTAATTAAATATATTGCTTTATCAAATATAATTTAAGATAAGTTTTAGTTAAGTTCAGGTTTGATTCTGTAAAGGCTGCCAACTGAGAAAAAGTGGAAACTCATCCAAACCAGTGGCATAAAGATAAGAATATGGGATAAAGAACATCTTGGATTTTGCACTAAGAAGGTCAATATTTGTGAATTGAAAATGTTAGTTATGTTCATTTCATTTCATATTGGCCTAGCTGAGAGCCTCCCTAATTAATTTTTAAAAAAATGATGTTTGTATACACAAGCATGACTACCATACAAAAGTAAAAAATACGAGTAACATTTAAAACAATTAGTAAAGAAATGACAATTTCTGTACGACTTTCTGCTTGTTGAATGTTTGTTAGAACCAATATGTCTATCGGAAACATGTACATCTTGACCCCGAGAACCCAATGAGGTTGGGATCATACTAGGTTTTTTTGTCATATCCACTCAAATATGAAGGAAACACAAATTAAAAAAATATAAAAGGAACTCAAATTAGTTAACCGACGTTATCCTTTCATAATCATAAGAAACAAACATTCTTTACCAAAAATTCAAAAATTCTTTTTCACGACATTTGAGTAGTGATGACTATATCATGCCCAAAACCAAATTTCTTACAATGTGGACTTCACTATTTACAGAAAAGCAGAGAATCAAACATGGCAAATAATGATAGAAATATAAAATATTGAATTACATATATATGAATCGCGGGTTTATTGACAGAGTTGCAGGCAAATGAGGGGGCTTACCTTCTACGCTCATCGTCATTCTCTTTAGTTGAGAAGCGTCAAAATTAGAGTAATACTGTTGATCCAATGTTGAATTATAGCATCCTGAAATCAATCTATGTTCATCACTTGGTTCAATGCCATCTTAAAGTTCGTGTACAAGTCTATTTCCCCTCAATGACGTGCTTCGTACTTCCTCCAAATTTCCATACCAAATAAGGGGAGTGGACAACTAACTCAGTATATCCTAAAATAGATTAGTGGGTAATTAAATCTGGACGGAGGAAACCCCTAAAATAGATTAGTATGCACTCCCAACCTCTAGGAAAAGGTGCATATCTTTCATTTCTGTTCATACCAAAAATGGGTTCTTTCCTCAAGAAAAATGATTGAAATGTGAGTTTCATATTAACTCCATATCATCAAGAAATTATAAAAACTACACAATTTCATAAAATTGTTCGAAAATATGTAGGGGTAGGGTTTCATATTTCGGAATGTTTTGGCCAGAAGCCCAAATATATGTTAGGGTAATGAAAAAACATCCAAAATTAGGGTTTCATGCATGGAAAATTGAAAGTTAAAGACAAGCCTTGTGAGGAAAAAGCTGAGAAGCAAAATACGGAATCAGAGTACCTTAGATTGGATTGGGAAGAAAGGAGAACCGTTGAAGACGATGGAGTCGAGAAGGAAGCTTGTAGAAAAAATCTATCTCAGATTCTCTTAGGAGGAGTAACTCGTTAACTCGCTGGGTCCGTACGGATGTGACTCGTTACTCGGTAATGAATTCCTAACCCGAAATAACAGAACCCCCGAATGTCTTTAGGCCCAGATGTTAGCCCAAAACCTCCATAAAAACAATCCGAGAGAAAATTATTGCAGTTATTGTTTTGTTAATTTATAAATATTTTGTAAAACCAAATCTACAAAAGATCTTCTCATTGCACGTTACGAGGCTTGAACGATTTTATTTTCAATTCAATTAATTTGAATATAAGGGTACAATTTTAATATAAAATCTATGTAGTAATAAATTACATGAAAAGTTCTACAAAACTAGATGTGATAATACTATATTATTTTATGAAATGAGTAGTAAAAATAAACAAACAAAGTGAATTAAGTTTGACCCTGTGAATAGTGTCAGAGAAGATCTATGGTGGACAGATGGAGTATATAAATGGTTGAACACTTGATTTCCTTCGAAATATTTAAATATCAATATATTACTCCCCGTCTTGTTTTAAATATTCCGTTTTGACTTTGAAACATATTTAAGAAAGAGAAAAAAAGGAGTTGACTTTCTCAAATACCCATTACTTTTACTTTTTAGGAGGCATAACGATGAATGAGAATATAAGAGAGAGAAAAGTGACTTATTTTAGGGGTAGTTTCGTTATTTTACTCTTAGAAATTTACGATAACAAGAAACAAGTAACTTAATTTGGGACAGGAAAAAAAAAGAAAACAGACAATTTAAAATGGGACAGATGGAGTATCTCATTTATGTTTTTCGGAGTATAAAAACTAATAAACCTAAATTAGATTATTTATGATGGATTAGGGATTTTCCTAATCCAATATTATTTGAACAGTACAAGAAAGCCCAATTTTATCTGGCCCAAGATATAAATCAAATAAATAATTCAAGACAGAACCAGAGATATATGGACAGAAGAATATATTTGAGGTGATATAAAAATATTCCGTGGAGCCCATTTACAAAACACGTGCACATGGATAAAGTCCCGAGAAGGTCCTCTTCTAAAGAGGCACAAAGTCCTGAGAAAGTCCTCTTCTAAAGAGGCACAAAGTCCCGAGAAAGTCCTCTTCTTAAGAGGCACAAAGTCCCGAGAAGGTCCTCTTCCAAAGAGGCACAAAGTCCCGAGAAGGTCCTCTTCTAAAGAGACACAGACCCGAGAAAGTCCTCTTCCAAATATGCACAAAGTCCCGAGAAGGCCCTCTTCTAAAGAGCCACAAATCCCTGCGAAAAGTCCTCTTCCAAGAGGCACCAAATCCCCGAGAAAAGTCCTCTTTCGAGAGACACTAAGTTAAATCCTTACCCACGAGGTGACGAGGCCCTCCAAAAAAGAAAGTCCTCTTGTCCAGGTTCCAAGAAAAGTTTTATCCCATGAGGCAACCCACCGAGTCATATAATTTTGAATCTGTCTCGTTTCCCAAGACAGACTCAAAACTAGGGGGGCATGTGATGAATTAGGGATTTTTTCTAATCCAATATTATTTGAACAGTACAAGAAAGCCCAATTTTATCTGGCCCAAGATATAAATCAAATAAATAATTCAAGACAGAACCAGAGATATATGGACAGAAGAATATATTTGAGGTGATATAAAAATATTCCGTGGAACCCATTTACAAAACACGTGCACATGGAGGTGACATGGCCACCTCATGGCATTGTTGGGGATGCATGCATGTACTCCCCTTTAAATACAAGGCTACGCAGGACGGAAGGGGGGAGGCCAAGGCTAGATTCATACAAGTTCCTACTACTATATTCTTCATTCTTCTTCTTCTTTTAGCTTGGAGCTCCATTAATGACTCCAAGTTCCTACAATGATGTATATGTAAACTCCCCCGAGATTAATAAAAGTTCCTCCCCTTTTGGCATGGCACCGCCTAAAAAGGCCTGTGGTTTTCTCCCGATTTGGGTTTCCACGTATAAATACTTTCTCTCCGCTTTATTTATTTACTTAATTTCCGGATTTCGCTATTCGGTGCGATGCCGACCCGGTACCGATTTCATCGGGTCGATGCCCCGAAAAAGCGGTTTCCATCACTGGCGCCGACCGTGGGACTCGTCACAAAAAGCTTTTGTGCTCGGAGTCCGTAATAGAGAAAAAAAGTGGATTGAGAAAGTAAAAAAACAAAAAAAAGGGAGGAGGGATACGAAGTGAGAATCAAGAAGAAGAAAAAAAATTGAAAAGTCAGAGAAGGAGAAAAGAATAGGAAAGGGAGGAGTGGTCTTCTTCACAGATCCGACGACAAGCACTGACAGGCCTTTGGCGAGCACGAGCACCGGCGAGCCACTGGCGAGCCTCCCTTCCTTGAGGCGAGCCGATCCAACACTCTAGCGAGCCACTCCCGGTCCTCTCCGGCGAGCCCCTCCTTCCGTCGGTCCTCCACCGACGAGCCACTCCTTCCGTCGGTCCACAACCAGGTCCAACGAGCCTCCTCCTTCCTTCGGCGAGCTATACGCAGCGGCAGCGAGCTAGAGTCTGGACCGCCGGCGAGCCGCGGACCGAGGGGATTTTTCCGGCGAGCAGCGAGCAAGCGACAGGGCCGCCGGCAGTACCCTCCACCAGGGTCGGTGAGCATCCTCCCAGATCGGCGAGCCCTCAAGCGTGCTTCACCTCCGGCGGGATCTAGCGGCAAACCACAGCCCCTCTAGCATCGACCCAGCGGCAAGCCATACCACTAGCAATTGTCCACTCCGGCAGACCTTGGCCCGGAAGAAGCGAGCTCCAACTTCCTCCGGCGTGGCAGCGGCCGTGATTGCTCCAGTTCGTCCATCAAGCTCCCTCTGCTCCGGCAAGCCTCATCGACAACAAGTGGGCCTTCATCTTCGACGAGATCCGGCGAGCTCCGACTTCCTCCGTCGAACCACAGACGGAAGTAGTGAGCCCCTCTCTGCAGTCCTCTCCGCGGTCCTCTCCAGTGGTCCTCTCCATCGGTCCTCTATGCGGTCCTCTTTAGCGAGCCAGGGACAGATCTAGACTCAAGTGGACCGCTCCAATTTCATGGGTCCCTCAAATGGACGGATTTGGCCTCCAATGGACCGCTCCAACTTCATGGGTCCCTCAAATGGACGGATTTAGCCTCAAGTGGAACGCTCCAGTTTCATGGGTCCCTCAAATGGACGGATTTGGCCTCCA